AGCAGGGAGCCCGATGCGGGGCTTGATCCCAGGACCCTGGGACCATGACCTGAGCCGAAGGCAGATGCTTAATGACTGAGCCACCCAGGCGCCCCTCTTTCTCTGTTTTTTATTAGAGTGAGTTGTAGAGGCTCTTTGTCACTAAAGGATAAGCACCAAATGAAGATTTAAGTATTTCCATTTTTAATATCACATATGGAGACATCTTGTCATAATGGCAAGAGCCCTGAGTTCAGATAATGGCTCTGCTAGGTCTATCTTGGTGAGCTTGCTAAGCTGCTTAAGCTCATTGAACCTGGCTTTTTCTCTGAAGAAAATGAGTGAGGATGATCCTCCCTTTCTGCAGAGTTCCTGTGAGAAAATGGGAGTAAGAACATGAAGTCCAATCTCTGGTGTAGAATAGATGTTTAATAATTGTTGGTGTTTGCTCTCTAAATGTTTAGTTTTCTCTTTGTTAGAAGAGTTTACACTACTTTCCAAGCACATTAAATGGTTTTATGTAAGTATAATTTAACATTTTTGAAAAATGAGGATATCTGTTCAATAAAACAATAGTAAAATATTTTGAAATAAACCCCATTCTTTATAATTAGTAAGTCCTGTAAAAATCTAGGGATGGTTGGAAGCTAGAGCTCTTTTTGTGATGATTATTGCAAGCTTCCATGAAATAACTTCTGACACCGTAACATAAAACCCATACAGCTGCTCTTATAAATATGTTTATTTTTCAAAGGGCAACACATGTATTAAATTAGGACTGGTAAGCAGAGTTTAATTGGCTTTATATTGTAGTTCATTAGAATTATATTTGCTATTGATGTATTATAAATTTTTATTGATTATATTCTAGTTGATGTTTAGTCATAGGAGATACCAAATTCATCTCTTGACTACATGGTTAAATAGATAATTTTTAGGTCACTATGAAGAAACTTCATTAAAAAAGTCATGAAATTTGTATGTGGCATTTCTATGTACTACATGTTCTCTTTCTTTTATGGGCACAGAATGGTACATCTCTGTGGTTTCAGATTTCACACTCGAGGCTCATGAGTTTCAGTCTAGAGGGGCATTTATATCCTGGGCTGTACAGGAAAGCTATCTCAGAGCCTCTCTGATAAGTAGACCATCAGATTATTTTGGCTTGTTACTGTTGGAAACCTCTATAGTCTTTGAAAGAAATAAGTTTAATAGTCTCTACACACATAGAAAATTGATGAGAAGTTATATTTAAGGCAGTTTGGAAATCTCCAAGTTGTATAATCATCTAATAAGATTTGGTGTCATGGGTTATCGGGCTTATTAGCCAGGAGTGCAAATCAAGTTCTTGCTGTTATGATCAAGAGTCCACCTCGACTTTGTTTTCCAGGGCCCACCAGGGGACCAGGCTGCTCTCTTTGCTGCACAGGCTCGGCCCTCCCCTCAGCTCCCCCAGTATCCAGGGCTGCAGCAAGCACAGGTATCTGCATTTGCTTTGTAGATGCTGCTGGGATTTTTACTGTTCTTTATTTGAAGCGGGAAACCAAGTAAATAGGATATCAGCTCTTTATGGGGTCTAGAACATAGTACTTCTGCTTATAGATTATAATTGACATCTCAAAAAAAGCATTACCAGTGATCAACAAGCCTTAGGATTGACTGATTTTTTAAAGAGCATAAAATATTTCAGAAAGTTCTGGAGTTAAAAATACAAATAACCTCTCTACTTATAATGAGTAGATGTTGAAATGCTTCACAGTCCCAGAGTGCTTATTGTATGTTATAATGAATAATGATGTAATTCATGATTGAATTTATCATATTAAAAGATAGGTTTGCAGACGAATCATGGTAGAATAAGAAGGTAATTGACCTTGGAATCAGACCATGGTGCAATTCCTGGCAACTTACCAGCTGTGTAATATTGTGCAAGTTATTCTGTGTCTTGGTTTCCTTCAAAACAGAGATGAGCATGTGAGGATTTAGGACAACCTGTGGAACCAGCATAGCACCAGATCCATGGTAGCCACTCAACAAATGATAGACTTGCCTCAATATAAGGCATCTCCTGGGCTATTTTTCCTAGTAATTTTGTGGTTTCTGCATCTCTATACTTTTACTCTGTCCCCCTCACAATTAGGAGCCCGGGGATGTTGGCAAGACTGCCAGTGGGGCTAACAGTTCACACTGTGTCCACAGCTAAAAGGCAGTCTGAGGTTGGTTCTCATGGGCACTGAGCCCCACAGCTGGATCCATGCATGCTGCTCGCTGGAAGTGTATTATGCATTACTCTGTCTTCCAAGTCAGAGCCATTAGACTACCTTAGAGTGTGGTTCTTTGAGGACTGAAGAGCAGGCCTCTTCTATTTCAATCAGCATTCCATTCTATAACTTGCATATAGTCACCCAACAGAACCTCAGGTTTTTCATTTACATTAGGTGTCAAGATTTAGGGGAACAGGCACTCATATACTAATATTGAATAGAAAAATGAAATATTTAGAGTATTGGTAGAGTGCTGAAAAGGGCTATAGTCCAACCAGGACTAGAGGATATCAAATAGTCTCCAAATACACCCTTACTGTGGGGTTAAGGTATTGTTTTTTTTGGTTTTTGTTTTTTGGTAACTGGTTAATTACTACAGGCAAATTCATCAGATCCAAGGTGTAGGTATAGTTATATATCAGGAAAGTGTACTCCAGCATTTTCATTTACATTGGAAATAGGTAGCTTTTCTTTCTAATTTTGGAAATGAAATTAATGGTGCTTGGGATCTGTTGAACATTGATGTCATCTGTGCACTTAAGGTATGGATGCTTGCCTGATTATTTCTATACAGAAACATGTCTTTCCTTCCCTCAAAGTAAGCAACTGATTCTAAAACTGATCTTTTAACCAAATGAGGATTCATGTTTTATTTTTTAAGATTTATTTATCAGAGAGAGAGAGAGAGCTTGAGTGGGAGGGGCAGAAGGAGAAGGAGAGAGAATTCCAGGCAGACTCCATGATGAGTGGGAAGCCCGATGCAGGGCTCAGTCTCATGACCCTGAGATCATGACCTGAGCCGAAACCAAGAGTCGGACACTCAACCGACTGCGCCACCCAGGCGCCCCTCGATTTTTTTTTTTTAATTGAAATTTCTGATGAATCATGATCCAACCAGTTCATTCTGTAGCTTTCTCGCCACCCTCTTACCTCCAGAGTTGTCCTCCTCATATGTTGAGTTATAAGAACCTTTGAGAACAGTGACTTTCAGGGAACTCCTCCCAGGTTTGTTTTTGCCCCATATAGCTTAGTGATAGCAGAGTTGGTGGTAAATTAAAACACTGACTTCTTGTGCCCACCTGCAGACCATGCCCCAGGGCTATACGATGTACGGAACACAGATGCCTCTGCAGCAGACCCCACAGCAGCAGGCTGGTGGCGTGGTCCTCTCTCCCAACTATAACTCCAGAACTTATCCGGCCGCACATTCCAACCCGGCGCTAATGGAAAGACTCAGACAGATGCAGCAGCCGCCCAGTGGCTATGTTCAGCAGCAGGCATCACCATACCTGCAGTCCTTGACTGGCTCTCAGAGGTGATACATGTGGAAATAATGATTACAGTAGTAGACACTCGAATTCCTGACTTTGTTAGACATTGTCTAGGGCATGGTGCTTTATAAGTGTTTTTATGAGCTTGCATATTTGCATATAATTTGCATTCTGTCATCTCATTTTTAGTAGCATCCAGATAGAGGATTATTTCATTCAAGGCCCGTGTAAACTCACATCTGCCATAGTATGGGTGTAATGTTTTAGATGATGCCAGTATGTTAGCTGCAGTGTTTTCCGCTCTTTTAAAAAGATTTTTGGCTAAAAATATCTTAAAATGAAAAAAGTGCTGATTATTGTTAGCAGTACCTTACTAGAATATATTGGTTGGAGCCATAAAGTCTGTGATCGATTAATGCTCATTGTGCATGGTGCCCATAAGAGTTTTGTTATATTTTAGTTTCCACCTTTTCTGCTTCAGGTGTGGTTGGCACAGAGGATCATGAAAGATTCTTTCTCAGTTCTTGCTATAATTGAATCCCATAGATATAGTGCATGGTGACCACCAGCCATGTGTGGCTGTTTAAATTAAGACTAAAGTTAAATTAAAAGTTTCGTTTCTCAAGTCACACTAGTCACATTTTAAGTGTTCGATAGCCACATGCAGCCGAGCAGAGCCAACTTTGAAGGTGTGGGACCTGTGCAGTCACACAGTGCACTGTGTTTAGAAGGATCCCACGCTTAGTGTAATGGTCTACTGTCACCATCTTGAAAATCCTACTAGTTTTTGCTCAAGGAGCCTTGTGTTTTTGTTTCACACTGAGACCCAGAAATTATGTCACTGGTCCTGGAGACCAGTAGCTATCTTATTGGACAGCACAACTGTAGAACATTTTAGGCATCGTGGAAACTTCTGTTGGATAGCATTGGTCTAGAAGAATTAAGTTTCATGCAAAATTTTACATTATAGTAGACAGCAGCTTAGCTTCCATGTGTTACAATCAGTTGCTGTACGTCAACACGAAGTTGTTACAGCTTGGAAAGTTGGCACGGTTGATGGTAACACGTTTGGGAAAATAAATAAGATCGGAAAAACATGCATTGTATTTATTACTATTCTAATAAGTGGCAGCAAAGCATATTGCCTATGAACTTGAGCTTCAGAGCTCAACAGTTGTGGGTTTCAGTCCCACCTGCGCTCTTTACTGACTGTCTGAATAACTTTGGGAAGTTACTTCTCTAGCTCTCTGTTGTCTCATTTTTAAAATAGGGACAAGAAAACGCAAATCAAAACCACTTGAGGTATCACTTCTCATCAGTCAGAATGGCTAGGATCAAAAAGACAAGAAATAACAGGTGTTGGCAAGGCTGTGGAGAAAAAGGGAATGCTTGTGGCCTGATGGTGGTGATGTGAATTGGTGTAGCTGCTATGGAAAACACTATGGAGGTTCCTCAAAGAATAAAAAATAGAATTGCCATATGATCCAATAATTCCACAGCTGGGTATTCACCCAAAGAATACAAAACCACTAATTTAAAGGAATCCATGCACCCATATGTTTATTGCGGTGTTATTTACAATAGCCAAGCTATGGAGGCAGCCCAGGCGCCCATCAATAGATGAGTGGATAAAGAAGATGTCGTGTATATATAGAACAGACTATTACTCAGCCATAAAAAGGATAAGTTTTCGCCACTGAAATAAGTCAGTCAGAGAAAGACAGATACTATAAGATTTCACTGATATGTAGAATCTAAGAAAACAGTGAATAAACAAACAAAAAATAGAAACAGACCAGTGTACATACAGAGAATGAACTGGTGGTTTCCAGAGGGAAAAGGGCAGAGAGATGGGCAAAATAAGTGAAGGGGATTATGAAGTACAGATTTTTAGTTATAAAATAAGTAAGTTACGGGAATGAAAAGTACAGCATAGGGAATATAGTCAATACTGTTGTAATAACTTTGTATGGTGACAAGTGATAACTACACTTATCATGGTGAGCATTTCATAATGTATAGAATTGTTGAATCTTACCCACTCACTGTTTAACTGCAAGCCATGCAATTTGAATGCAAAATTTCTTATATGTGTTTGAAAATAAAACAAAACCAAAATTGAGGTGTTCCTCATTTCCAAATCACTGTCCCAAATACAAGTGTCAACTATCTTTCAATTAAAAGTTTTAAATAAATAAAACGGGGATAATAAAACTGCTGACCTCAAAGGGTTGCTGTGGGGAGTAATGAAATAATACATTCCAGACTCTTATTACCGCTGTGCCGTTTCCAGAGTAAATGCTCAAATAATGTCACTTATTATTAAAAACAATTAAAATATTTTTAAGAAGTAATTTAAACACGATTGCAATTTTATCTTAAGTAGTGAGCGTGCTTGCTGTCTTTTGTCCAGTGACTCCATCTCTCCATGGAAATCTAGATTATCTTAGTCACTGGTCTCTATCGCATGTGAATTGTACAGTTGAATACTGAACACAGTTGTTTCTTTGTGAACGTGCGTAATGTGCCACTGCCACTGATTGAAAATATGACAGTTTGCCTGGGTGTGAAACCAAGTTGTATTTTTTTTACCAGACTGAATCATCAGTCCCTTCAGCAGAGCCCTTTGGTAGGTGGAGGAATCGATGCGGTGCTGACTTCCACACATCCAAGCCTTCCTTCAGTGCCCCTGCCTCAGGACCCGATGAGACCCAGGCAGCCACAGGTTCGACAGCAGCAGAGGCTCCTCCAGGTGGGGGTGAGGGCAATGCATGAGGGGTTCTCAGCAGTCCTATGAAATAAGAGGCACTCTAAAGAGCCTTTAAGTTCCAAGGAACCCCGTGTAGTTGAGCCTAGGAGCTCAACTGGTGTAATTTAGTTCCAACTTGGCCAGGGTCTTCCTTTCTCTGTGCTTTTGCCAGGTTATGGGCAGGAGGGTGCATTTTGCAGAATGGCCTTCCCCTTTCATAGAGGTTCAGGAGAGGGTAACTGGCTGCCTATATCTTAATATGTATGTATATTGTAAGCGTCAGCTCACCCACTCGCTGTTTAACTACAGGCCATGCAATTTGAATGCAGAATTTCTTCTGTGTGTTTGAAAACAAACAAAACCAAAATTGAGCTGTCCACAGCTTTCATCAGATTCCCAGAGGGGTCTGTCTGTAATCCAAAAAATTATCTCTGACGCTTCTGTTCTGATTTAAGCTCTGAAGTTGGAGTGACGTAGGTGGGATATTTCATATTGTCTCTGGTAAAATCCAGAGAGCTATCCTTCATTTATTTGATGTAAATATTTAAGTACCTTAGATAAAGCGTTCCTCCTCTTGACACATTCTTGCTTCTAACTTACTCATTTAGGAAATATAGGCTATTTATGTCTACCTGTTCCATTTATCTTCATTCTTAACAAGTTTGTCCTTTGTTACTAGATTGGATATTGTCTGATGAGTCTGCACAGTGGGCTCTATCAGTAATTCACCTTGAGATGCACTCTCATTTTATGTGTTACTAAGAAAGAAATAAACACCACCAAAAATGGGGAGTCTAGTAGAACCGGAGTAACCAAAGCTATACTCTTGGAATGAGTTCGGTAAAAATGTCATACAGAAAGGAACAGTAGAGTAACATGCATATCTCAACCTTGACCCTGGTTGGAGGGAAGAAAAAACGTCTCCCCTGAGAATTTGAACCACAACTTCAAGTGTGTTTGATGTCTGAATTCAGTGTGATCCAAAGAATTTTAGTTGACAGTACCCCCAGGTGATAGGCAGAAGCCAACACAAATCCTCCAGAAAAATGGGTTTTACAATTATAAAATGTCATTAGTTGTAAGATGCTATTAAGTTGCAACTCAATTTGTAGTAAGAGTTCAGTAAGAAAATATAAGTAAAGCACTCATTTGGTAATATTAAGAATAGCTGTAGTGATATTTTCATAAATAATTTTGTCTCAGGTTCTGAAGATATGTTTCAGAACTTAATAGAACTGATATTTATATTTCCCTCTGTTTTAAATTTCTCATTTCCTAATCATGAAGGAAAGTTATTACATTATTTACTACTTCCTGTCTTACATTGCTTTTCAAGGCTGCAAATTTTGAAAGTGTTTTTTTATTGGTTAATATGTACTTTTTTATCCCAAGTAGCCTAATATGCCCCTCTGGTAATTTTTTCATTACTACAAATTCCCTGGAGATAAAGAAAAGGGATTTGCTTCTGCCTCAGGATTATACTTACTCTTTTCTTGGTGACTGACTACCTTCATAAAGGAACAAATTGGTAATTATGAGGTTGGTTGGATTTTTCTTGGAAGAATTCACAGAAAGCCAAATGGAGAATTGGCTTTGTATTGCAATCATTATGGTTCTGGTCCCACTTGCATTGTCTCAGTTGGGAGTGACCCTGCCCAGACCTCCTGCTGGGATTCCATATCCATGAGTGTTGGCATTTAGTGGGAAATACCATCTGGTAATAGCTATTTATTACCCTGCCCTAAAGAAGACAAATAATTTGGGGGATAGTATGCAAACCAAGTTGGAAATGCAAAGGATGAAAAGAAGTCCAGCACTGTCATCATCAAAATGAAGTGCCTGGGTGGAGGACACATTGAAGGTCACCGAGACAAACCACCTATTAATATTTTCCTCTCCTCTGTGTCCCACATGGTGGATGAGTAATGTGTGTTTCTTCTGTGATTTGGAAGTGTTTTCTAAGGGCTCTTTATTTACACCAACTCGATCACTGACATAATTTGTTTTTATGCTGGTATTTTTTGTCAGAACTTCCCACATATACATCTTCCTTTTAAAAAAGTATTCTAATCTTCAAGAATTACTCCTCTTCTTTTTCCTGTTTTTCTCCCTTTAAAAAAAAAAATTAATCTTCACAAGTTCCTCCAGATTGTCATAGGGACTAAAACGGTAATTACTTAGTCCTTTTCCAACCCTCTGGTATAAGATAGGATAAAGTATGTGCAAGAGCAGATAACATGAAAGGTGTTAAAACAGTAAGTATAAAGGATGTCCCTGGACAGCAGAGGGCAGTATAGACAATGATGACGGAAAGAAGAGCTCCCTGGGGTTGTGGTAGTCCCAAGAAGCCTACAAAGACAACAGATTTAGGTCTTGCCCTTAAAAGATGAATGTTTGTCAAGACAGTAATGCAGGAGCTAGGTGTATATCATTTTCATTGCAACAGCGTAATTAGATAAAAGGTATATAGGAGGAGGGGATTGGAATATATTACCCTCTCTAAGTGTCTAATCCTTTTTCTTTCCAGATGCAGCAACCCCCCCAGCCCCAGCAGCCCCCACAGCCCCAGAGTCAGACCCTTGGTCTCCAAGCGATGCAGCCCCAACAGCCTTTGGTAAGGAACCTGGTGTTTTGGAACCAAATATGTGGGGTTCTTCTTTAAAGGCAGGTTGCATTTTTTCATCCCATAAGATTGTTAAGAATTAAAATAGCTTAAATGTACACTTGCAAATTTTCCCTAGAGCTTTTATCAGAGTAGTATATTTGTTTTCACAGAAAGGTATAAATAAATATTGGGGTTCAGTAAGTTATACCATTTTCCTCTTCAAATTTTTTCAGACTTTTCCATGGACTAAAATATTTATATTGAGACCCCAATTTTTTTTAAACAATGTTAAAATGATAATTTACCATATCTATTTGAGTTTTTACTATACTTTCAAAAGAGCATGAGTGTGCTTTCTAAAATATCTTTACTGATATAAAAGAAACTCTGATTTTAGCCAGTTATTTTCTGTAAGAATTTTCATATAATTTGTAATCGTGTAATTAACTTCTTTAGCTTTGTAAGTCAGATTTTGAAAATGTTAAGTGCATAGCATCAGTGTTTTCTGAACCTCAATAATTTGCATCCTTTACTTTTCCAAGTGCCATATCCCTGCTTTATTATTTACTTAAGTATTTTTTCTTTAAATTGCCTCTTTTTCTATTTACTGAAGTAAGTATATTCTAAAAAGAATTTTTATTACTGCCATCAGTGGTCACATCACCTGCTACGTATTAGAAATATCTGTAAAAATAAATACTTACACTGAAGGTAACTGAACGACATGAGTTGTGTGAATGAATACTACCTAACATGAGCTGGCTTATTGCACTTTGGGAAACCCTGGTATAGACTATCTTCAGGACTGGAGTAGAAAGATGGATGGTTTCACAACCTTTGCAGTAAAGAAATAACAGCAGAGCCAGCGCTGTGGTATATCAGGAGAGATCAGATCAGTAGAGCTAGGTGATAAAGGACAGGTCATGCCCGAATAGACTGATAATGGAGCATCAGCAAATGACATAGGGTATCTCAGTGCGGAGGCTTGTAAAATGCACCGAGATATCCTTTTACAAGCCTCTGCTTGTAAAACGGGTTGGTCCCCGTTATTACGGAAATTCTTCTTTATTATGAATCTAGTTTTTCTAGCTCCAGTTCTTTTTTTTTTTTTGTATCTGTGACATTTATTGTAAACCATCTTAAAAATCCTTTCTCAGGTAGAGGCAGTATATAAACGTTCACATACAGCCTGCACTCTTCATCCTCAGGGGTGTATCAGCAGGGATTGACTGACTTACAAGTGTTGTGTCAGGGACTCCTTGGCATGGGATACTCCTACTTCACCCTAGCATCTCACCCAAGAAGAAGATATAACTGTTTATTTTGAAGTAATTTCAAACTAACAGAAGAATTAAAGAATAATACAATTACCATAAATCCTCTTCCCAGATTTACTAATAACATTTTGTCACATTTGCTTTATTATTCTTTCTATGCACACGCACGCATGCACTCTTTTCCCCCCGATCTGTACATATCAGTAAGTTGCAGACTCCTGCCTCTTTTATCAGTACTATTTTAGTTGATTTATAATGTAGCATATAAGAAGTACATAAAATATTAAATGCATTACATTTTTTTATTCTTAGAGAATCGTGCTATATAAACAGATGGATATTGATATCAAGTGCCTGAAATGTAGTAGTTCTTTTGAGTAGGGTAAAAAAAAATAAACATTTGATTATATCACAAGTTAAACTTATAGGGCTGGGCTGGAAATTGTCTTTTAAACTTCTTAATTATAATTCTTAATTATAAACTTCTTAATGATAATTTGAAGCAGAGGATCAGCTTTTGCAGAGTTGAGAAGAGACCCTAGCCTCAGTTCCACTAGAATGAAAGCATATCTAATATAAGGGAATTTAATATCTTTCTAGTCATCTAAAAGTTTCATGAATATTTATTTATTATGTGTAAAGACTATATATCAAATTTATTCATTTTTGACCTCTAAGACAGTTTTGAAGTTTTTAATGTCATCGGTTGTATTTTACTCACTAACTTAAAATACATTCTCGGGATTGAGCAGGTTAGTCAAAACACGGCCCATGATTTTTTCCTACTGTGTTCATAGTAAAGTAATTTCAGAGAAACAAAAAACTTCATTACAACAGTCTTAATGGATAATAAAATCCACAGTGGGCTTTTTCCAGCCCCTTTTTTTCCTTTTGAGCTGAAGCCTTTTTTTAAAAGCTATTTTGGAAGCATAATTCTTATTTTTATATTTAGAACACTATTGTAATCTAGACAGCAATTATTTTTACAAAGGCAGAAATATTGTGTATGTCATAGTCTTAGGATAGGCTAAGAAAGTTAAAATATCACTTGGACAGATTTCAGAATTAGAAGTTAAAGGGATCAGTGATCTTGGAGTTTTACATTATGTAATTAGTTCTTTTTTCAGCATACTTTTATTCAGCATATACTTTTAAGTTTATTAACATAGTCTACATGTTTGTAATTTTATATAGCTATAAAGTCAGTCAGCTGTATTCCTCTGCTCTTACTTGCCTAACACCCCACCTATTGCTGCTGAACATTGGTATTGTTTCCAGTTTCACAAATAATACTGCTAGGGATATTTTGAAACATATTCAATTTCTCTTTTTTTTCTGTTTTGTTTTGTTTTCTTACAATAAAAGAAAATAGAAGCATAAGAATAATGTTATCTCTAAATGTGTGTCTTCAGAACAGTAGCAGGAAGCCTTAGCAATACTAAGAAGAAAATTGTATTTCTTATAATTTCTTAAAATGTGATATTGTTTCTTTGCTGGAAACTGAGCAGTAAGCTGGCTGTGGAGAAGTCTGCTCTGACTCATTTGGAGTTCTGATTCATGCAGTCTCAGGGGAGAAGTGGTATTGGTCACACCACCACCACCCTCCCTGTGACTTGCCCTACGGCTACCGGGTGACATCCAGCAGTCGGTTCAGCTAGTGCTTATTTGTTCTGTACAGTAGAGGCCGACACTGGGCCAGAGGTTATGAGCACACTAATGAAGCGCCCAGCGTGCTCCCTGCCCCCAGACAGCTCAGAATCCCAGGAAACCACTGAACAGCTCGGCATGTGGGAAGCAGGGGAAGTCCTAGGAAGCTAGGGCTCCTGTAACACAGCACCACAAACTGGGGGCTTTGCCAACAGAAACGTGTTATCTCACAGTTCTGGAGGCTGGGAGTCCAAGCTCAAGGTGTCGGCAGAGTTGGTTCCTTCCAGGGGCCACGAGGGAGAAATCTGCTCCAAGCCACTCCCTGTAGCTTCTTAGGGTGTGCTGGTGAGTTTTGCCTTTCCTTGGCTCATGGAAACAAACATGATCTCTGTCTTCATCCTCTCATGATATTCTCACTGTTATGTGTGTTTGTGTCCAACTTTCCCTTCTTTATAAGGACACCCATCACATTGGATCAGGTCTGATGCTAATAATCTCATTTTAACTTGATCACCTCTGTAAAGACCCTCTCTCCAAATAAGGTCACATTCTGAGGTACTGGGGTTGGGATGCCAGCAAAGCTTTTCGGGACAACATAATTCAACCTGGAACAGAGGTCAGGAAGGGTATGAGAAGCTCAGGAAGACTTGTGGGAGGAGGTTGAATGCAGCGGACCCAGAAAGGCTTTGGGATTTGTTGAGTGCTCTTTGCCCCCTCCTTGACAGCAACAGCGGGTCCATGTGGCACAATGATTATTAACAGCCACATGGGCAGGTTGGTCCCTGCTGTAAAAAGTGAACCTACGATTCAAAACTAACTTAGAACAGAAATTGGTGCTTTTTCCGAAAGCATCTTCAGAAAGCAGAGCTTTTCTGTGAAAAGAGGAAGAAAGTGTTAAAGGCCCATGCTTACAAATTAAATGTGTCAGCTTAATATCAATGCCTGTGTTTTCATTTGCTTACTTGTCTTTGGTAAAAGAGCAACAGGAAAGAAAGACGAGGCACCTTGCTGGAAAATTATATTTGGCCTTTCTAGTTCTGACCTAAATTATAGTTCTTGACTTGAAAAATACCTTTAAATAAGTTTTTGAGTTGTAATGATTAACTCTTAACTAAATACGTTAACAGACTGTGATCTTTTCTTTAAGGCTGCTTTTAGCTTTTAAGAAAATAAAGTTTACATCATACTGCTGTGTCATTTCTTTTTATCTTAAACTCACGGTGTCCTAGCTGGGTGACCTGGACAAGATGCTAACAGGAAGCTTTAAAAAGCTGGCTTTTTAAATTATTTGATGCTTGTGTCATATCACATTATATTGAATATAATGCCTTATAAAAATATGCATAGTGGGAGCAGTAGTTACTTAAATGATTGCATTAATTTGTAGCCAAAGATCATGTGTGAGATTGCTATATAATCTTCAAAAAAATTCGTATGTTCCATTCAGAGAAATTGAGAAAATTTTCCAATGCCTCTAGAATTCAGAATTAGCCAGATAGTATTTTCCTTTTCAAATGGAAAAAATTAGTTCAGAGAAATTTACTGAGCTTTGTCACCTTCCTCTGCATGAATTTGGATTTTAATTTTTTTTTTTTTTTCCTTTTTGATGGGAAAGAAGTAACTTATAGATGGGGAGGATAGGGAAGACCTATGTGGGAGATTTCTGGTAACAGGACAGATAAATTTGATTTTTTCTTCCCACTCAAAAAAAAACTAGAGATTTTTAAAAAACGGCTGCACGCAAGTTACTGGTGAAACTGCAAATAAATGCGCGCCAAATCCTCTGAAATCTATTGGTGCCGGCCCTTTCTGAGTGTTCCGTCTTGCCAGCATCCAAGCATGCGTACTTCTACCCAGCGCTCGGTGGAGGGGCCCCCACAGTACCGCAGTCCTTGTGCTGGAGCTGGTACTGATGAAAGGTTTTATTCTGACCGTCAGAGGAGCCCATAACTCGCTGCACTCTCTCAGTTGGCAGCGCAGGTTTCAAATAAATGTTGCCTTGGTGCTTTGTCCTTTGCTCACCAATAGTGATCAGTGACAGTTTTAGGACACAGCTGTCAGGAGGCAGGAACTGTGCTTTACTCACTTTGGTGTTCCTAGAACCCCAAAATGTGCCTGGATTTGGTTAACTGTTGTTGAATAATTTGTTTGTTGAATGTCCGAGCAACGAAGGAACAAAAGCCCCACACAGTGATCCCTAGGTAAAGGAAAAAGACAGTTCAGAAGGCAAGAGGTTGAAACCAGATTTGAGGCAGTGTGAAGGCCCACCACTAACTCTTCAGCCCTGCTCTTGCTTAGGACGGTCAGTGTCTGCTGCTGCTGCTGCAGAGAAGGGCCCAAAGAAGCCAGCTTTTCTGAGACAGAAATGATTCAGTGGCATTTATTTAAATAGAAATGACTGGTTTAGAGATGATGCATTTTGCCTAAGTAATGAGCGAGCAGGAACGTTAATATTCTTGACTAAGCGTGTGTTGTCAAAATAGGGATTTAGGGATTAGTCGAAGCACATCATAATAAAATTTTAAATTATTGTTTTGAGTTCGACAGAGAATGTGTTTAGTGGAGAGTAGCTCTGCCCCGTGGGCTAGTTGGCTATACCTGACGGACATTGTTGAGCTCTGTGCTTTGTCTCGTGGTTGCAGCAGGGGCATGGCACACAGCTCCCGTCCCCGAGAAGAGCAAAATCCAGAATACTGGGGAGAGAAGCACTTGTCACATCACGCCACATTTGATAATAAAGGCATCTCCAAAGGATACAGGAGCAGTGGTTTGCTCTTCACATTCCTAAGGGAGTAGGTAAGCACTTGAGCTGATCTTTGAAGGACAGGCAGATTTTTAGGAGCATGTAGGGGTAGGATGAAGGGGGAAGGAAGGTTTTCTAGGAGGAGGGATTAACATTTGCAGAGGCGCAGAGGTGAGCAGAACTATGAACATCTCCTGCGTGGATAGAATCCAGAAAAATCTTTCCTCTTTATTTATCAGACTTAAGCAGGAAAGGTTAAACATACACAGATTGTGGTTTTTAGATTTATTTTACTTCTGGTAAGCCTAAGTTGTCCCATGTATTGACCTGTTCTGGTAAATTAGAAGTTCCAGCTCCCAACATGGGGATGATTCCGAAATCTAGCCAAGCATCAGGCCACTTAGGGGAACCATTTGAAAATACAGATTTCTAGCACATTTGGCCCAGAAATTTTAACTCAGGAAGTCTGGGGAAGAGCTTAAGTGGATGACTCTTTAAATTTCTCCTGATGGCTTTATGCTGCTTCAGCCAGTTTTGTGCAAGAGCTCAGTGACTTGGTTTGAAATGCTCCTCAGTGAGGGTTCTGTGGAGAGCTGGTGGCAGGCTCTCTTTCCCTGGCCTCAGGTGCTCCAGGGCCCAGGGAGGCTGTAAGCTGGGTCTCTTGCTTGCTGACATTCACATACAGGTGGAAGCAAGTTAAATTTTGCATCAGAGTGGCCTTGAGAGAAACAGATGCAGGAAAAACACTACAACTGAGGAGACTATGGACTGCAGCCGTATCCCACCACTTCCTTGGATGGAGGGGGTCGGGGGGAGGTGTGCCGAACGAAACTGGTCTCAGTTTCGGCCTTGGAACCACTTCTCATTCAAAAATTACTGTGGACCCAGAGAGCGTTTGTGTGTCTATTAATATTTATTGTATTAGAAATTAAAACAAATATTACCAGTATTTACTAATACATTTAAAATTCTCATTAGATATTAACCAGAAATAACACTTTATGAATAATGAATGAATATAAATATATTTTTCAAAATAAAAAATGAGAAGAATGACATTGTTTACATTTTTGAAAATTTATTGTCTGAATAAATTGAAGACCTTGTTTGTTACAATATCACATGTTATATAGCTTCTGAAAAACTGCATTGTATACTCCTGAGACAAGGAGAGCAAGAACAACTAGTGCCTTAGTATTATTATGAAAACAGTTTTGATTTTGCAGACCTCCCCAATAGTTTTGGGGTCCCCTGGAGGATATCTCTTTTTTTTTTTTTTTTTGAATTTTTTTTTTATTCTTATGTTAATCCCCATACATTACATCATTAGTTCTAGATGAAGTGTTCCATGAT